CCCGCCACAAGAGCCAAAATCTCAAGTTTCTGGTTCTGCGTATTATTTTGAGTTAATAAGCCTTTTATCTGTTAAAATAAATGTTAAAATAAATGGGATGACAGGGTGAGCCTCACTCTCTTATCATCAACCCTAACTGTCCAAAAACAGCCGGGCCGGCCAGGCCGCCGGCGCGGGCCGGCCCCGGCCTCGGCCCGGAAACCCGGGCCAAGTCCGGGCTTCGGGCCGGCTCTTTTGTGCCCGGCCCGGGCCCGATCCGGCCCAGAATAGTAGTTTTTTTAATTTTTTTATGTCTGATTTATGTATGTGAGATATGATATAGCTGTTAAGTTATACATAATTTATAATATTATGATATATGATAATAATATTTTTTATATATGGTATACTATCATGTATATACTACTATATTGTATATAAACATATCTCTATATATGTATAATATGTATAGTGTGTGTATATATATACTCTCCTCTTAGTATATAGAATGTAAGTATGAGAAGTTATAACTTCTCGTCTTATAGGAAGTATAGTAGTTAGATCTAGGTTAAGGTATATATAAGTGTCCTTTTCTCTTATATGAAGTATATATGGACTCTTCTCTGTAATATATGTATAAATGTATGCATGTATGTTATATCATACTCCTCGTGCTTAGTGCATAGGTAGTGGTATGATATAGAGTAATACTCTCTCTATATATATATACCTCTCTGCTATAAATAATTCTATATATGTATAGATATGTCATATTGTGTATGTTGATATAATAGCTCTCTCCTACTATCGCTACTCACAGCTCTCTCTCAATGAAGTATATCTCTCTCTATATAAGTATATATATGTATAAGGTTATATAAGTATACCTTTCATCCCTATATAGAGTATTAGTATAGTATAAGAATACTCCTACTTTATATATATGCTATGAGTATGGTATGTATGTTGTATAGTATACTACTACTCTCTCGTTAGTATATATTATAATAAGAGTATAGCTCTCTGTTATGATATGTATAGACGCTCTGGCTTGATAGGCTATGATAGTCAAGTAAGCACTCTCTTATATAGTGTATAAGAGTTGATAATGATTATATATATATATATTATATATATATATATAGTATATATATATAATTTATATATATATTATATATATATATATATATAATATTAATATAGCTGCTGCTCCCTAGATATATGTATTATATAAAGTATAATCTCTCTTATATATGTATATCCTCCCATTATATAAGTTAGCCTTTTAATATATGTGTGTGTATACTCGTCTCTCTCTTAGTATAAATAAGTATATATAAGTATGAGTGATGAGGTTGTAGCGGGAAAGTTACTTCCGCCATGTGGCCCAACGAGCAACGACTAATAGGGGTTTACTATGCGATTTCTCCTCTTAATTATAACTTACAATATATACCAATATATTTACATATAAATATATGTATATAAATATATAGTTAATAATAATTAGAAGTATATACTCTGACATTAATATATAAAAATATAATAATATTAACTAATTTTTAGTATTTTTTTATCAAAAAAAAGAAAAGAAATTTAGAAAAACCTAGGTGGGATGTACTTATCTATTGTGATCGCGCATAATTTGAAATTAAATTTATACTTGATAACTTTGTAATGATTTAATTCATATCATTATAAAGAATTTATTTTTACATAATTTTTTATTTGTAATTATGTCATTTTCAGATGATTAAAGAGATTATATTATTTTGTTATTAGTTTGTTTTGTCCTTTGTTTTATTTAAACTATAATAAAATTAAAATTTTTGCAAAAAAAGAAAAAACGCCGGGCCCGGCCCGAACGACCGGGCGGTCGGGCCGCGGCGCCGGATTTTCGGGCGGGGCCGAGCCGGCCGGAACGGACAGGCCTAATCACTCTGGCCTTGCTCTTTGCCTCTCTTCCATTACTATGATCGATTCGCACAATCTCTCTCCCACCCTTGCTCTCCCTCCCTCTCCCTCATCCTCCTATATCCCCCTTTCTTCTCTCCCAAGCTGAACCCCCATATGGTCATCATTACTAATAGATTTGTTGTTGTTGTCGACAAATGATCTAGCACAATCACCCTACCCCCCTCCCTCCCTCAAAGGTTTCAACTCCTGCCAATGGGTAACAACTTGATAGGCAGAATAAATCTTGGTTTCTCGTTCTTGGTTTATCATGCTTTTTATACTTGATCAATGTTTTGGTGGTGGAGAATCACGAGCCCCTACTCACAGTCGCAATATATCTCAAACCAAGAACTTTCTTGGTTCAAACAAAACATATTCTTGGTCTAGTGTCATGAGAGACATGCCCAATGTCCAAACATAAGCAATCATCGCCATCACGTATATACCATACATAGTGCCTGTAGGCGTCAAAAATTATCTATAGGTTCCCGCACGTAGCTCAAGACAGAAGACGATGAGCATCATTATCCGAGTCAAAGGGGATTATTTGACGTCAACGAGCGCATGAAGCAAGTCGACGAAGCGTACGAATCAACGGGACGACGAAATAACGAAGAGACGATTCGATCAGGAGTTACGGTTCACTCACGAAAGATGAAGCATCACTCGTGTCTTGTCCACTCCACACATGATTCACTCATATAAGATTGTAGATCTCCTCTCCGGCTTTCCAACGCACTTTGAATCGCGTCATTCCGAGATCGGGCCGAGGAATTACGCAAAAAACAAGTCGAGGCGCGCAACCGGGACACACGACGTGTCTCGGCCAAGGCCGAGACACAAAGTCTGTCTCGCACCTAAAAATGCTGATTTCACCCGTTAACTGCCTAGATTTGAGTATATTCTGATCCAAAGCCTCCCTAATTGATCTGAAGTTATCTTGGAACGTGGTTAAGTGGTTACAACTGAGGATGAGATCAAATCGGTCATTCTTATCCGAAAACTGAGCTTCTGAAACCTATAAATACAGTCCTAGGGCCTTTATTTACACAGATCCGGAATTCTCGAGCCTCAAAATTCCGCTGAAGGATCGCATTGTTCCACTACCTGAAGATCGAGGCAAAGCTCCTGTTAAGGAATGCTTGGGTCCGCTGAATGATTCCCGAGCAAATATCCAGACTGGGGGTCGTGCGCGACCTTCCAACAAGTTGATTCTCGTAACCACCCGCTTGGGGTACGTGTGAAAAACCAAAAGCTCATTAGGGTTTCACCCTCACAAAGGTGTGATTCTAAACGAGTGACTCCTGCGAACGCCAACAAAGCATTACTTAATCAGAAGAAGACGCATCCGACAGACGACATCGTTATACCTGAAAGAACAAGCGAACAACCGATAGGTTGCTCTGGCCACAACGCCGACGAGTTGTACTATCTGACTGGGGTGAGTCTCGAAAGAGAAATACCCTAGAAACAGACTCTCACTGTCCTTGTGAGAGATTAACCAGAGCAGTACTATCAGAATATAGCTGACCTAATACAGCTCCACGGAGGGTCTCAGTATTCGAAAGAATCTCTACTGAAGCGTCCAAACCTAAACCAAGGCGCTTCCATAAAAGAAGATCAGTCGGTCAGGATGGCGAACTTCCAGAAGTCACCATTAACATGGTCGATAAGGGGAAGTCAACTTGACGTCTCAATCCCGATCCTTTCCCCGGAGCATCTCAACATCTCATTTGGTTGCGGTCCGGGGCTATCAGACCTAGATCGAGTAGAGGATGGTCTTCGGATGATGAGACATCAGATACATGCTCCGCAACTTGGCTCTAATAACACAATGTCTAGTACAGGGCGATCTCGAGAAGCATTCATGATCACTACTGAGCAGATGGCTCAGCTCCTTCAAGAAGCCTTGGCTAACCAGAAGGAGGATTTCAAAATCAAGATGATGACCGTACAACGGGTCAAGGATTTACATGCCCTGCAGCTCCAAGAGTTGTCAAATAAGCACGGTAAATCTAGTCATCGCCACATTACTAATTAGGAAGATAGCGACTCAGAAGTCGAGGGGAATATCAATGTCGATACCTCTCCCGATGATAAAAATGCTGAGGATGGCCCCAACGCTAGGGGTGGCCCCACTATTTCTCTTCAAAGTCGCCCGAAGAAAGATGCAGGCGAAGATCTGAAGATGAAAGACCTCGAGAGCAAGATCAATGCTTTGATGTCTGCTCAAGAGGTGAAGAGGACTGGCATTCCATGTCCTTATCCGAGGGAGTGGGAATCAATTCCGTATCCAGAGAAGTTAAACCTAATTAACTTCATGTCGTTCTACGGAAGGGGTTCGCCCAGTTAACACTTGATTTACTTCAAGTCCTACCTAGGGGTCATTTCAGACAATGAACCTCTGATGGTACGATCATTCGTGGGGACCCTTCGTGCGACCGCCTTCGACTGGTACCATCGTCTCAAGTCGGGAAGTATTAATAGTTGGGACGACATGGAGAGCATGTTTCTCACCAACTTCTTCGATGATGACACAGAGGTTTCAATCGGGACACTATTTGATGAGAAACAAAAAGACGGAGAATCAGTCGAGAACTTCGTCAAGCGCTTCCGGAATAAGGCGATGAACTGCCGAGATCCAGTCACGGAGGAATTCATCCTCCAAACATGTCATAACAACCTTTCCTTGGACGTGCTGAAAGCTATGGGCGTCGCACCATCCAAGACTTGGAAAGAGTTGAAAGTACGCAGGGAGCAAGCCGAACGCTTCCTCAAAAGGAAGAAAGACGAAAGAGGTCAACCCGCGAACAATGCCCCAAAACAGAACTTCACCCCTCGTGGTTGTTCGCGGGAAAAATTGCTTTCTTCGATTCCATTGCACTCTCAAGTAATAGTTTTTCGATTACAAAAGACCTGGTCTTTTTATAAGATCCGGTTACAACAAAATAAAAAAAAATGAAAATTACAACTTTCCTTTTATGTCGAACGAATCGCGAGATCCTGTTTTGCGGTCTCTCGCTTTTGTGGGTTCTTCGCCTGCGCCGGGGTTAATCCGTGGACCACTGCGCGATCTTGATCCGGTCGGATCTACACGGTATGACGGGTGTTATTTCACGAAGGAAATAACAGCCGGGGGTACTATTTCACCAAGGAAATAATAGCCTTAGTTATCGAAATCGACCAAGCGAAATCGAGACTCTTCTCGGGATCAAAGGCCAAGCTTTGATCCGGAGGAAAACCGTGTAGATCTCAGATCTGATCTCTCTCGAACTCCTGCCTTATTTGGCGTGGATGATCGCTAAGAACCAGATCTGAGAGTCCGAGTCTTCTAAGTTGAAAATCCGAGGGTGAGTTCTCAATCCAGCAGAGTTTCGGCTCCAAAATTCCAACCTCTCAAAAATGAGCCATCCAGATCTATTTATAGGCCTTCACTGGAGCCACCTAGAGGTGGCTCGGCCACCGAGCCACCTAGAGGTGGCTCGGTTTCGGCCGAGTCCTCTAGGTGTTTGGTTTCGTACCTGTTTTCTGGTTTCGCGGTTTATCCAATCTTCGTTGTTGATCTGAACTCTGATTTGGCAGTCCGTATCCTGATTTGGCAGTTCGGATCCTGATTTGGCAGTAAATCCGCCTCGGTGTTCGAGTTCGAATCTGTTCCACAGTTGGATGACTCATTGACTCACCGATCCGTTAGCTTAATTCCGGACGCGAGTGGATTTATTCCGTTGTTTGCGTGCGGTTCGTTAGCCTCGTAGCCTTGTTAATCCGCTTCGTCGCGTGTCACTTGGCCTCGGTGTTGTGGACTAACGATCATGTTTAGATACGTCACCAGATGGTTCGTTGATTTGTCAAATCACCGTGCCGAGCTGTGTTAAGGGACCTATAGGTAGTTTTATACGCCTACAGATACCCCCTCCAAAGTATTTCAGCCTCGTTCTTTTATAGAAGAGTCTGGAATGCTTTGGATATGATTGTCCCAACCTTCAGTCGGTGTAACGGGACCTTGGAATGGCTTCTGTTCTTGATTCCTTCAATCCTTCAGGCTATTCGGTGCTTTGTCGAATGTCTGTAAGGGTTCCGGTGCTGCATTTATTGTCTGACCGTTGTCGGAATTTTGAACTTGAAGTCGATTCCTGATTTTCTGATCTTTTAGCTCGTGTTTGCTGGTTCAACATAGAACTGACCATCGATTGTTGGCGTTGAGTCTTTATTTGCGACGCGTTGTCCAGCGTTTGACACAGTTTATACTCGTACGTTTGCTGGAGTCTTGAGAAGCAGTTTATACTCTTATACTTTTCGGAGTGTTGTTGAGTTATCCTTAAGAATATTTTTAGAAAAATACTCTCTAGAAACTTCTCAACAAAAATAGGGAATAGTTTATACTCGTATACCTTATTGGAGTATTTTTCATATGTTCAACTTGGTTTGATCCGGTTCAGTCTGGTCTGGTCTGGTGTCATTGAGTTGACTGACTATCTCCATCACATCGTGCTGACTCAGGGTTCCAGATAACTGTTCATTGACTTTTGGTTGCAACGCGTTGACTGGCGTTGACCTAGGGGTACGCGTTGACCGGCGTTGACCCTAGGGTTTCTAACGTCGTACGTACTTTAATAACTACATCGGCGTTTTAGTACGGCGGCCCCAAGTCATAAACCCGTACTTCAAATTCAAGGAGCTTCCCTGGTCCGCATACGAGGATATATGGAGAGAGTTGATGGTATATGATCATTACTTCTTTAATTTTCATATTGATATAGAATACGTTTACAAAATGCTTAGATATCTTATATTTTTACATGCAAAACTGTAGAAATTCTATTGTCTTGAGGACTACCCTGGGGCGTGGCACTATGTTTTCAATATCAAAGTTGAGGCCGTGCTCAAACAGTGGCGACATGAGCTGAAGATATCAACATATGATATATCCAACATTAGTAAGCATACTTCTAAATTTAGGAATATATATATCATATTCTTAAAAATAATGCCACCTTCTTTTATCTTTATATATCATATTCTTAAAAATAATGCCACCTTCTTTTATCTTGCAGGTGCATGTGTTTCTTTGAGCATCTCTAGAGAAAATAATGCTCGTGGACCTTTATCTTGCAGGTGCATGTGTTTCTTTGAGCATCTCTAGAGAAAATAATGCTCGTGGACCTGGATATCGTCGTCGTGTTTTTAAATCATGTGTGTTGATTGAGTTGTGTTGAGACCAAAAACAACTTTCTTTGTGTTGAGCCCAAAACAAACATTGAGTTGATTGAGAGTTGTGTTGCAAATTTATATGCATATATGTGGATGATTATAAGTTGGAAGAGTTAAGACAGAGATGATATGTATGACTTTGTTGTGACAGAGATTTCATGTGATTTTATTGTGTGACTTTGTTGTGATTTTATTGTGTGACTTTGTTGTGATTTTATTGTTGATTATATATGTGATTGTTATTGTTGATTTGTAAAGTGGATTACAGGTATACAGCCAATTACGAAACTGCAAAACATTGGATTATACAGGTATAAGGCTAGACGGAATTTTTACATCCCAGACGGAAATATCCGTCTGGGATGTCAAATCGTGTTGGTTGCCATTAGATATCCCAGACGGAATTTTCCAGACGGAAATATCCGTCTGGGATGTCAAATCGTGTTGGTTGCCATTAGATATCCCAGACGGAATTTTTCGTCTGGGTAAGTTATTCCAGACGGAAATAAATTCCGTCTGGATTAGTTAATTCAGACGGAAAATTCCGTCTGGGATGTTTATAATCCCAGACGGGAAATTTCGTCTGTATTAACTAATACAGACGGAATTATTGCAGACAGAAAATTCCGTCTGGATTACTTATCTTAGACGGAATAAATCCGTCTGGAATGAATTGTAGACGGTTTTTTTTCCGTCTGGAACTTTCCGTCTATAATACATTACAGACGGAATTTTCGTCTAGAATAAGTTATTCTAGACGGAAACAAACTAGACCCGTATTCCAGACGGAATTCCGTCTGGAATACTTTTTCTAAACGGAATCAAGGTTATTCCAGACGGAATTTTCCGTCTGGAATGCGTCGTTTTGTACCAGTGTACGTTGACTGTTTGATCGCAACGCATTGATTGGCGTTGACCTAGGGTTATGCATTGACCGGCATTGACCCTAGGGTTTCGAACGTCGTACGTCGACTTTTTGATCGTAACGCGTTGATTGGCGTTGACCTAGGGTTACGCGTTGACCGACGTTTGTAGGCGTATAAAACAGCCTATAGGTCCCTTAACACAGCTCGACAACGCCAATTCGACGAACCGACCATCGGGCGACGTATGCAGACACGATTGTTAGTCCACAACGCCGAAACCATCGAGTGACGAGGCGACGAGGTCAACGAATCGCACGCGAGCAACAGAATGCATCCATTCGCGTACGGAATCAAGCTAACGAGTTGAAGAATCAACGAGTCATCCAACCAAGAGCGGACTCGGACGAATCACGATCGAATCAAGATCAGTTTCGGACTCGAACTCAGAAGTGGATTTACTGCCAAATCAGGAATCAAGTCAACGAATCGATTCCAGACCAATCAACCGCATAACCGAATCACGGACGAAGCAGATACAAGAACCGAACGACGGAACCCGGCCATGGCCGAGCCACCTCAGGGTGGCTCGGCCCAGAGCCGAGCCACCCTGAGGTGGCCGGCCCAGATCTGTGCCTAGGCACAGATCTGAGTGCCTATAAATAGGCTAGGCCTTGGTTCATTTTTGAGGGTTGGAAAATTTGGAGAGGCGAAGCCCTGCTGGATTGGAGACTCAGAACTTAACAAGATTCAAACTTTAGGACTTCAAGGACTTGCTCATCCAGATCTGGTGCTCGGCGACCGTCAACGCCAAATAAGGCAGGTATTCGAGAGGACCGGATCTCAGATCTACGCAGACGTACTCCGGATCTAAGCTTGGTCTTAGATCCCGAGACTTGAGCGATTGTTTCCTTGGTGAATCAATCCCTCCCGGCTATTATTTCCTTCGTGGAATAATACCCGTCGTGCTGCGTAGATCCGACCGGATCTAGATCACGCGGTGGTCCACGGATAAACCCCGGCGCAGGCGAAGAACCCACAAAGCGAGTGACCGCAAAACAGGAGCTCGCGATTCGTTCGACAAACAAGGATAAAAAGTTGTAATCTTTCTTTTATTTTCTTTGATTTTCATTATAACCGGATTTTATAAAAAGACCAGATCTTTGTAACCCAAAAAGTTGTTATTTAAGATAGCAATGGAATCAATAACAAAGAAAGACACGATTTTTCCCGCGACCAATCTGGCGACCACAGTGGGAGCCGCTGATCTCGCTGTCGAGATCGGAGCGTCGCAGCCGCGGATCTCAATCCCGGTCGTGGAGGAGGTCGAATACGAGTTCGACCAGCAGAAGTTCGAGGAATACTTGTCGTCCTCGTCCGGATCAACCTCCCCCCGCAAGTCCAAGAAATCCCAGAAGTTCTCCTCCAGGAGAAAGGATTCTCACCATGTCTATGCACTCAACACTCTCTCTGTTAGAGTCTGGACGTAAAGTACCCACTTGGTCAAACCTTCTTACAGTTAGGACCACAGTCAAAATCCCCTCTCGATTCCCCCAATGAACGAGAGGTCCACAAATCGAGCGATCAAACCTTCCTACAGTTAGGATCGTCTCAAAACACTCACTTGGTCAAACCTTCTTACAGTTAGGACCACAGTCAAAATCCCCTCTCGATTCCCCCAATGAACGAGAGGTCCACAAATCGAGCGATCAAACCTTCCTGCAGTTAGGATCGTCTTAAACCTTCCATTGGTCAAACCTTCTTACAGTTAGGACCACAGTCAAAATCCCCTCTCGATTCCTCCAATGAACGAGAGGTCCACTTTCAAATCGAGTGATCAAACCTTCCTACAGTTAGGGTCACCTCAAACTCCTGTTTGGCCAAACCTTCCTACAGTTAGGGTCAAAACCATAATTCACTCTCGATAAAAGAGAAATTCATCTTTAGTTCGGTAATCAAACCTTCCGACAGTTAGGGTTATCCGAATCTTTTCGATTCTCGGAGTGGAGATCCCACTCTCAGTTTCACCTTTCCGGATTCTGGGGGTGGAGATCCCACCTCGAGTCTCCTTTCCAGTTGAAGATAGAATATAAAATTCTTCTTCTTCATTGTCGGGAGATAGAATATAAAAATTCTTCCCCCATTTCGGGTTCGTCTTTGCCCCAAGAGAAGACACCACCTTTTTCAAATCCCAAAATCTGTGCCTCACAGGTACAGGGAATTTTATCCCGAATCCTAAGTAGGGATAAGTCAAACGCCTAACACGCGTTGCCGGTTTAGTCTTTCACCGATTGAAGAAGACAATAGAATTCCAGTTTAGGAAGTTTATCCCGAATCCTAAGCAGGGATAAGTCTGCGCCTAACACGCGCTGCCGGTTTAGTCTTTCTCCAAAGAAAAAGACACCAGTGTTCGATTCTGGGGTATTCTATCCTGAAACCTAAGCAAGGATAAGTCTGCGCCTAACCCGCGCTGCCGGTTAGTTCTTAACCGTTGAAAAGAACATCCGTCCACATATTCAACATTGTGGCAGGTTGTTATTAATAACACCAAAATCCATGCCTTACACGCATGGGGAATTTCATCCTGAATCCTAAGAAAGGATATGCCGACGCCTAACACGCGTCGCCGGTTTAGTCTTTTACCGATTGAAAAAGACACCAGAGTTCGATTCTGGGGTATCTCATCCCGAAGCCTAAGTAGGGATAAGTCAACGTCTAATACACGTTGCCGGGTAGCCTATTCCCGTAACAATGGCGAAGCCTATGTATTCAACATCATAGCACAAAGTCTCAGAGAATTCACTCTCTTAGCACAACGTTACATGCGGAACGGATTTAGACAATCCGCATGCTAGCCCGACTCAAACGGTAGTCGGTAAAGGCTAATCAAACCCGTTGAAGGCTGGGGGTTAGCCAAAAACCCTAAAGTCAACGCCTAACACGCGTCGCCGGGTAGTCTATTCCCGTAAGAAAGACGAAGTCTACGTATTCAATATCGTAGCACTAAAAGGGTTAACTCTTTTAGCTTAACGTCACATGCGGAACGGACTTGAACAATCCGCATGCTAGCCCGACTCAAACGGTAGTCGGTAAAGGCTCATCAAACCCGTTAATGGCTGAGGGTTTGCCAAAAATCCTATAAATACGAGAGTCACTGACGCATCAGCTCCATTAGTTGGTCTCGTGACTTGAGCATCCAACGACGTTCGAAACCCTAAGGTCAACGCCGGACAACGCGTAACCCTAGGTCAACGCCAGTCAACGCGTTGCGAGCAAAAATTCAACGTACGACGTTCGAAACCCTAGGGTCAACGCCGGTCAACGCGTGATCCTAGGTCAACGCCAGTCAACGCGTTGCGAGCAAAAATTCAACGTACGACGTTCAAAACCCTAAGGTCAACGCCGGACAACGCGTGACCCTAGGTCAACGCCTATCAATGCGTTGCAATGAAAGAACTAACACTCCGAAGAGTATATGAGTATAAACTGCTCCTCAATCCTCCAACAGTGCATGAGGTTAAACTGCTTCTTAAATACTCCAATAAGGTATATGAGTATAAACTGTTCCCTAATTTTTGAGAAGTTCCTGGAGAATGTTTTCTATAAATATTCTTAAGGATAACTCAAACAATAAGACGCCGGACAACGCGTTGCAGATAAAGACTCGACGCCAACAATCGATGGTCAGCTAAATCAGGAACCGACTTCAAAGTTCAAAATTCCGACAACGGTCAGACAATAAATGCAGCACCGAAACTCTTTCAGACATTCGACAAAGCACCGAATAGCCTGGAGAATTGAAGGAATCAAGAACGG